CCCTTATAATTGGTATATTATGCAAAGCTTAAGTTTTATTTAGACTGCTATGATCAATATTTTTGTCCATCTTTTTTTACTCTTAGCAATTAATTTCAGTTTTGTTTATGCGGAAGTATTATATACATGGTCTCAAGTTGTGCCAGAAGGCAAGTTAAGTGTACGTGCAATAATAGATAATGATGTATGTCCGACAGCCTTTGTTGATGGCAAAGAAACAACCATGTTAGAACGTTATGATGAAGATAATGTTGAAAAAGTTTGTGAACTGCTAGTGCAAAAAGATGTTAAAGAGATTAACATTAACAACGTGCAAATTCCTATTTTACCAAAAAAAATAAATAAAATTGCTTTTATTGGTGATACAGGATGTAGAATTAACACGTTGCACCAACAAGAGTGCAATTCTTTAGAAAGTTGGCCCTTGAAAAAAAACTTAGATTCAATAGCACTTCATAAACCAGACTTAATCATTCACGTTGGCGACTATCACTATAGAAGAACAAAATGTAGAGATACACAAAAGTGTGGTAGCATACACGGGTATAATGCACAAACTTGGTACACTGATTGGTTTGAACAGGCAAAAGATATTTCTCAACAATCTCCTTTTCTATTTGTCCGTGGAAATCACGAAGATTGCAATAGAGCTCATAAAGGATGGTTCAGGTATTTAGACTCATATCCATTTTCATCGGAAAAATGCGAAAATTTTGTTCCTAGTTGGTTTTTAGATATTGGACTAATGAAATTTTTTGTGTTTGATTCTTCATCCGGTGAAGATATTATTACAATTAAAAGCGACGTTGATGCTTTCAGCAAGCAATTTAATAAACTAACGCTAAGTGACTCTGATAAACCTGTATGGTTTCTAACTCACAGACCATTATGGAGATCTCCAAAAAAAGAATTCTTAACATTAAAAAATCACGGAAATCTTTCTCAGATTGAAGCTTTTGGAGATGATTTTCCCAATAATGTTGCTGCTATAGTTTCCGGCCATATTCATATAGCACAAATTTTATTAATGGATAACGTCCCAGATCAAATTATAGTTGGAAATGGAGGTGCATTACTGCATGCTCAGGACCAAGAGCATATTTACCGTAATATAGAATTTAGCTATTCAAATGGTAAAAATTATTTAGCACGTGAAATCAAAAACTTTTTTGGCTTCGGTTTTGCAGTACTTGACTTAAATGATCACAAACTTATTTTCTATAACCAAGATAATGATGAAATATATTCTGCTGAGTTAACCGAAGATTTTAAAATTGCAGCTGACTTTGACCGTCATTCTAGATGATTTTTCAGTAGACTTCTTGAACAACCTATTTCTGATGGCAATTTGATTATTAAAGTACTTAAAGTGCTTAATTTAATGTAGCAGGTAAATTTCCAGTGAATAACAATATTCCTGAAACTAAAATCACCCACAATACTGATATAGGCAAAAATACTTTCCAGCCAAGACGCATTAACTGATCATAGCGGTAGCGAGGTATTGTTGCTCTGATCCAAATAAATATAAATAAAAGTGTGACCATTTTGGCAACAAACCAAATTAAGCCTGGAATTTTATAGAGTAAACTAAACTCCAATGGTGGATACCACCCACCCAGAAAGAATATTGTTATCATGGCACTTGCTAAAATCATGTTTGCATACTCCCCAAGGAAAAAGAGAGCAAAAGGCATAGATGAATATTCAACGTTATAGCCAGAAACAAGTTCTGCTTCAGCTTCTGGTAAGTCAAAGGGATGGCGATTAGTTTCTGCAAGGAGAGAAATAAAAAATATCACTGCCATAGGTGCCAGCAGTAAATCAATCCAAAATGGCATATTGTGTTTTGTTACTACCATCTCTCCAAGGTTTAATGTACCAGTTGTGATAACAACTGTAGCAATTACCAGTCCTATTGATACTTCATACGAAATCATTTGCGCAGATGATCTTATAGCACCAAGAAAAGCATAATTGGAATTACTCGACCAACCCGCCATAATTACGCCATATACCCCTAAAGATGATATAGCCAACACATATAGCACACCAACATTGATGTTAGAAATAACCTTGGGAATCACTATTTGCTGACCATTTTTCGTGATTATCTCAGCACCAAAAGGTATAACTGCCCAAGCAATTAATGCTAAAATAAAGGTTAACATTGGAGCTATAATAAACAGTATGGTATTTGCTTTTAGTGGTATTATTGGTTCTTTAATTATTAGCTTAATGGCATCTGCAAATGGCTGTAGCAGACCAAAAGGTCCAACTACACTTGGACCATGCCTTAACTGGATTGCACCGATTACCTTACGTTCAAAATATACTAGGTACGCTACCGAGAGTAGCAGCGGTACAAGAAGAAAAATAATTTTAAGCACTAAAAGCATACAACTCTAAGTTAAAGAAATAATTTATAATCACTGTTATAAAAAACATAGCAAGTATTCTGGATAAAGCAGATGATGCTATTAGGGTAAGAACAGCCACTATATTTCTTTGTGTATTATCTTTCGGTCTAGTGCAGCAATATGGTATGCACACGCTCAATAATAAAAGTAACATAACTATAATTACCATAGAAGAAAAATAGTTTCCACTGTCTTTGGTAAGCACAAAAAACGTAATACCCATCCACACAGGTCCATCAGTAAATATTTTTATAATATCTACAATAAATTGTATTAACTTGTATGGGTTCTCTACTGTATTTGGATCTTGGACAAAATTTGCTCTATGTTCAAGGTAAAGCAAAACTGGCAGTAAAAAAGGAGTTAGAATAAATAAGATATTAACTAGCATAACCATAATCATTCACACATAAGTACACACAACCCTGATAACAAAGCTATCTTATAAAATTAAACATCAAATCATCGTATCATAGGAATTTGTATGTTTATCATGGTAGATAAAATAAACAATAATGTCAACATGGAAGTAATTGCTACATTTTTCAATCTTCCACCTCTTATTTTACCACGAATACACATTGTATATACTACTGATAGTAACGACAATACAAGAAAGAAGCTCATAAAAGGATCGAAAAAATCCATATCCCACATAAATGAAGCAATTTCAATTTTAAAGGGCGCTAATAGTCCAAAGAGAGAAATTGCTATTACTGCTGCATAAGTTGACATTAGACCCCCTGCAAAACGAGGAAAAAAGTAGAAAAACAAAAAAAAGCGTATAAAATGAGAGTTTTAGTGAGAGAAAATGGCAATAAATTATGCAAAAGTGGCAAAAACCCCTTATATTTTCAGACAATTAACGGGTCTAAAAACAGAAGAATTTGAAAAAATCGTGGAAAAAGTGAGGCCGGAGTGGGAAAAAATGGAGGCAAAAAAGAAATGTCACGGAAGAAAATCGCACGTTGAAACACTAGAAGACAAAATATTATGCGTTCTCATTTATTATAGAACGTACATAACACATCCATTTTTGGGATTTTTATTCAAATTGCACAACTCAAATATCTGCCGATTACTGAAGAAAATGGAGCCATTGTTGGCAAAAAAAGTTACCATAAAAAAGGATAGAACCTTAACGCCCGAAAGGATTTTGAAGATTTTAGCAGATGTTACAGAACAGCCGATACAGCGACCAAAAGACAGCAAAAAACGTAAAAAAAGTTACTCTGGCAAAAAGAAAACAACGACCATAAAAACCGAAATTATAATCGAAGAAAGTGGGCAAATCTTGTCGGTTTCAAAGTCGCATCGAGGTCGAATGCACGATTTTCGCATAAGAAAACAGGAGAAAATGCTGCCAAGAGATAGTATAAAACACGCTGATTCCGGCTATCAAGGATGGCAAAAAGTTCAAAGTAATGTAGTAATTCCATATAAAAGGTACCGGAAAAAACCACTAACGGAAGAGCAAAAGGAGCATAATAGAAAGCTGGCGTCGTTCAGGATGCGAGTGGAAAATAAAATTCGAGAGATCAAAATATTCAAAATTATATCAAATGTTTACCGCAATTTTCAGAAGAAATACAACATGAGATTCAATAGACCTTCTGCAAAACGTGAAACTTAGCTTGGAAGATTTCTCTTCGTATTTTTTAAAAATTTTCTTGTTTAGAGCGTTGTAGAGAAGCAAAGTCACACATGGGATAGGTTTTTATACCCCCCAAAGAGAATTTGACGTTTATTTCTTTGTTTCGCAGAAGGTCTAATATTATTGCTGGTATTGTGAACCTAAGGCACGGTTTTTAATAGCTTTCGGGTTGGGGTTCCTTACCGGATTTTATCAGCAACTCTCTTTATGTTGTTTCGCAGGGGGCTAATGTTACTCTACCGATTTTTTGCCACCTCTGTTTCCAATAACTGAATGGCTTTTTTCCTTAAATCATAGCTCTACGCTGCTGGCATTTTTACCTCCTCATTACCCTAATTTCATATCTTATCTTGTTTTTACTATTATGGAAAGGGATATACTTATTTCATAAGCTTTTATTACATTTACTTCATCTTGTCACCACAACTTGTAGCAGATCTAAATTTAACGATCATCAATTT